GCCGCCGCCGCCGCCGCCGCTCCGCAGGCCCCTCCCTCGCGCCGCCCGCTCCTCCGCCCCCGCGGCCCGCACCGCCCGGCGCCCTGCAGGTGGAGCCGCGCCCCGGGAGGGGCGGCACCGCGGTGCTCCGGCCCCCGCGGGTGGGCACCTTTGGTGTCTGGGTGTGCTGGCGGGGGAGGGAGGAAGGAGATGGCCACCTGGGGGTGGGGGGCGCTGGTCAGCTGAGCTTTTGGGGGGCACCTTGGCCGCCCAGGTGCCGGAATTATGGAAGAGATGCCCAATGATGGAGGGATTCGAAGAGGTAGGGCGGGCGGGCCGCCACCGGCAGGACAGGGAGGGGATGGGGGCGGCTGAAGGTGGCACATTGGAGCCTGGAACACTTCAGAAGTGGGGAGGGAGGGCGGACAAGGGTCCCATTCGTTGGTAGAGGAGGGTGGGTCAGACAAGTAGAGGACCTTCTGGAGCGCAAAACTGGACCCGTGGGAGGAAGCTGGGGAGGGGGGCAGGGGAGGGGTCGGGCCGGGCGGGGAAACTCTGGATGAGCTGCCTGGACTAGTTGGCCTCCCCCAGGCAGAGCTCCATGATCTATTCTCTTGTTCATCTCTCTACGTACTGGTAAAGATAAAGTGTAGAAACAGCGCTGGGTGCACTCCAAAAACAGGCTGGAGAACGGGTCCCTCTGCCAGTCTCCCTTTCCACCAAACCCAGGGCTTCTGGCAAAGAGGACCCTCCCTGCCTCCCTTCCGTTTTCACCAGCGTGGCGCCGCATCGCACACAGTGCCTGGCACAGAGCAGACCCTCAAAAAGTAGTCCCCTCTTTTGTCCAAGCTAACCCCTTACCTGAGCGATCGAGTTCCCTGCGGGGAGCACAGGTCGCCCTGGGGGTTTCGGGGGTGGGGGGAAGGATGGACCCCCAGTACCTTCCTACCTGCTCAGAAAACCTCTTTGGAAAGGGAGGGGGAGGAAAGGCGGGGGCTGCCTGAGAGGGGTAAGAAATACTGAGGGGCCTTCAGCCCCAGGTGGGAGAGGGAGCCGGGATCCCTGAGTTCCAAAATTCTATGAGGCTCTGCTTCTTTCAGCCGGTTTTCTGGGGACTCCAAACTGCAGGGGGGCCAGGGGAATCCAGAAGAGGCAGGGGCAGGAGGATGGGGTCAGGGAGACTGGGGCAGGTGGCCGCTGCCTGGGGTTTCTTGTTGGGGAGTGGGAGTTTGGCAGCTAGAGCTGGGCTTTCATGGGACCAAAATGCCCAGAATGGACCAGGGGGAGGTCCGCCCCCCTCCCCGCCCCTTCTGGGTGTAATGGAAAGGGCTGGAGCCCTGGGAGTCCTGGAGGTTGTGCCACCACCACCACCTGCTTCCTGAATGCTCCCCCCCCCCCACCTGTCAGACCCTCAGCTTGTTCACAACGTCCACCTCAGAGCACAGGTGTGGCAGGTTCAGTCCTGGACCAGGTAAACGCAGCTCAGATGTGCTCTGGGTGCACTTGCACCTCCTTGTGAAGGAAGCTGACTTCCATGTCCTCTCCCACCTGGCAGCCTGGCCCATTCTGCTCTCTCCCTCATGCCTGGGCTGCCTGAACCTCACATCCAGAGCCCAGCACCCCGCTCTCTGTCCATACCCTGCTCACCTCTTTAGCTCCATGTAGCAAAGTGGCTACAGCCTCAGGCTCTGGAAGCCACGGACTGGGTTCAAGTCCTGAAAGGGAGGGGGCCGGCAAACACAACCTGGCCTGTGAAATGGACTTGATCACAGAGCTGGTGTGGCCAGTTCCTGCTCAGGAGGGGCCTGGCCTCGGCCATGCTCTGGAATGGTAGCTGTTACCATCATCATGCTGAGACTTGTCTCCTCTCTGATCTTAGGGAGACCCCTCCATCGTCCCCATCTGTCAGTTCTGTGGAAGCACCCACCCTATCTTCCAGGATGCCCTGGATCCCCGTGGAAATGACCCTGGCCTGACCCAACACAACAACACACCCCTTTGTCAGCTTCTGAGCCAAGCAGGGGACCCCCGGGGTTGGTGATCTCCAACCTTGCTAGGGCCCAGGGCACATCAGCCCCTCTGCACTTTCTAGCAGTGCATCTTCTCTTCCTCCAGGCTCCTCCTGACTGTCTCCTCTTTTCTCCTGAAGCACTCCCCCAATCAGAACCAAGGCCCTTCCCTCAACCTCCTGCCCACCCCGCCCGCAATCACCCTGGTACAATCCATTGCTTCCTCTTTGTGTCTCCAAATGTCCCTGCTCCCTCGGTACAGGGCTGAGCTCCAGATCCTGCCCCTCGGTCCTCCTATCACCAGCCTCTCTCTCTGTCTGCCTCCCCATTCATCTGTCCATGACAAATGTTTCTACTGTGTACAGTCACATTCCCAGCACAGGGTTAACATGGGGAACAGAACAGATAAAACTCCCCGCTCCCATGGGGTTGACCCCCTAGCGGGGCAAGATCAACAAGGTGAAGTAAGCATATAACATATAGGTCAGGCAGGGATGGAGATGGGTGGTGAGGGGGGTCTTCCTGTACAAAGTGGGTGTGGAGACAACCTCTGGGATAAAGTGAAATTTGTCAGCAATCCCCCTGGGGGCTCCCCACAGCAAAGCCTGCTTGGGTCTTTTTTCCACATTAAAAAACAGACCTGGGGGCGCCTGGGTGGCTCAGATGCTTAAGCGTCTGCCTTCGCCTCGGGTCATGATCCCGGGGTCCTGGGATCGAGCCCTGCATCGCGTCGGGCTCCTGGCGGGGAGCCTGCTTCTCCCTCTCCCTCTGCCTCTCCCCCTGCTCATGCTCTCTTTCTCTCTGTATCTCTGTGTCTCGAGTGAATAAGTAAAATCTTTTAAAAAAATAAAATAAAAAACAGACCTGACTCCGAATTCCCTTCTAGCTGTCAACATTGTCCCCTCCCCCTTCAAGACCAGAGTGCCAAAGGGCACATCTGCATTCACCACCCCTCTTCCGCACCCCCCACTCGCTGATAGAGCCCCCCACCAGCCTGGCCGCTTCTCATCAACCCACCCCCCACCTCCCCAAACGGAAACCGGCCTCAGCAGCGGCAGCAACGACTTTCCTGTTCCTGGAACCAGTGAAGTTGCTGGCCCCCTCCCTTAGCTCTCTCTGCAGCCCTCCACCCTGCGGGGCCGCCCCACCACTCCTTCCCTCTGCTTCCAGGACCCCGCCATCTTCTGCCTCTCGGCTGCTTACCAAGTTATGCCCCTTCTGGTGGTCCCTGAAATGTTGTGTCTCAGTCCACTCGTGTCAACTGATGTTTAGTTTGTGTACAGAAAAGCGTACAAAGGTTAGAAGTACAGTTCACTGAACGATCACGGAGCAAACACTTGTTTAACCACCCCCCCAGTCAGGAAAAGAAGACCCCGCCATCCTCCGGAGACCTCCTCATGACCCACTCTGTCCACCCCACAGAGAGCCCTAGCTTGACTTCTAACACTGTGACTTTGTTGCCTGGTGGGCTTTCCGCAAAGAGAACCACAGAGTATGAGTGTTTGGGGATCTGGTTTTGTTCCACACTGTGTTTCAGAGGCTCACTCATCATGGCATATTTGTGGTTTTAATCTATTCATTTTTTCATTGTTGGGTAATATTCCATCATGGAAATGCACGGCGGTGTCTCCTCCTGTGGATGGGCACTTGGCTTGCTTTCGGTTTGGAGGTTATGACTAAAGCTACGTCTCAGCATGCACCTTTGCTCACTTCTATCGGGTGTGTGTACTCAGCGGGGGATTGCGGGCAACGGGGTCTATGCATGCTGAGCTGATGTCAAAGAGTTCACCAAGGAGGTAAGAAGTTCCTCTTGCTCCCAAACCTCCCGAAACAAAGTATTATCATTGTCTGTGACTTTAGCAGTTCACCACCTCCAGTGCGGCACTCACATCCTCTCTGGCAGCTGAGACTGGCCCTCCTCGTCATCCCCACTCAGGACGGACTGGAGTCAGCCTCCACCCATCACCCCTCAAGCCGTCATGTCCTGTCGAACTTCCAGTCCTGCTGACTAACCCTCAGAGCTCACAAACCCCCCTCCTCCCACCAGCCTCACCGCCCTACCAGAACTCAGGGGTTCACCTCTCCCTCACATGGGCCAAAAGCTGACCCTGTTCACTTTCCTGCTTACCATGTTTCCAGGCTCCCAGCTGCCACATGCTAATGTCTACATCCAGAGGTCTTCACGGAACAGCTCCACACTGCATCTCTGGCCAATTCCCTGTGTGCACCATGTTCTTCCCTGAACATCTGCAATGTCCCCAGCAAGGCAGGCGCCTTCCAGGCTCTGCATTTGTGCATGCCAGTCCCCTGCCTAGAATGTGGTCCCACATGCCACTTTTCCCCATTTGGAGTCAGCCTAAAGGTTATGATGAACGATAACTCCAGCACCAGCCACCATTCCCCAGATGGCCCCAGGGAGGTCTCAGTGCTGACCTCACATACCCAAGTTCCACCTCCTGTGCACAGGATGGATTTGCACTCCTGTCCCTTTTTAAATTGGGCATAGTCGTCAGAGCTGCTTTGGGCAGTGAAATAGGGAAATGGCCTGCATCTCTCCTGAGTTGGAGCTTTACAAGCCTGAGTGTGGTTTGCTAGATTCTTTTTTTCCCTCTTGACCCAGGGTCTTGAAAAAAGCACCCATCAAGATAGAATCGCCACCAGCTGGGGT